CCCTGACCCCGACGGGTCCCGACCCTGACCCCGACGGGCCCCGACCCTGACCCCGACGGGCCCCGACCCTGACCCCGACGGGCCCCGGCTGCCGACCCTGACCCCGACCGCCGACCCCGACCCGTACCTGGAATCTTCTTGGCCCAGCCGATCATGTGAACCAGCTCCTTATCGGCCAGGTTGGTGAGTGACATCATGACGTCTGCCTCCGTCAGCGGCCTCTTCATGTCCTTCATGAGGTAGATGTCCGGCGGCTCTGCCTCGATGATCCGCTCGATCAGCTGCTCCGGCGTCATTCCGGGCTGCAGAGGCTCGTTTGATGGACTCTCCACCGGCCTGGTTAACACTTTGGGTCTGCTTATCCGCCCCTGGGCGGACAAACGGGTCACTCGCCTCACCAGTGTGCTCCTGCAGTTCCCACGCTCCTTTCGGATCCCTTCAAAACCAGAACCTACACTTAATTACTCCAGGTTTTTCACTGTAAAAACACAAAATCTTACCAAGTAATTCTGGTCTAATTTCTGGTACAAATATCTTGGTTCACTTGAAATAAGACGAAGCTAAGTTACAAGTAACTTTTCAGCAGGATATAGAAGCTTGATTCAAGTGAAAAATTCCCTAATATTGATGAAAAAGTTCTAGTTCCATTGGCGCCGTTACCTAGCAACGCCAGCCAAGCCTGTCGCCTAGCAACCCGGATCTAGTTCCACTGGCAGATCACTTCACTTCTAAGAAAAATATTTTGTTATAAGTGAAATAATCTGCCAATGGAACTAGAACTTTATCATCAATTAATATTAAGAATTGTTGACTTAAAACGAGCTCATACATCATTTGTTAACATAATTCGCGAATTAAAAATGTTTTCCAAGCAATGCAAATTATACCACAAACTCTTTTCTGTGGGACATGTTGGACGATTAGTTACAGAAATAAAATGAAAGCACAACGAACCACATTTGGTCATGCCGACTTCGTAGCATTTGCGAAGGCGGCACGCTTGGCAGCTCTTGCGTCGGTTCTTGTCTATAGTGCACTGATTGGTTGCCGGACAGATGTAGTCGTTATGACCTAAAAAACAAAACATACAAGATGTGAATTTGTTACTTTATGGAAAAAAAAAAGAGAAATTGATTGTTTTATTTTCCATATTTTGCTCTCGTTTTTCCAGACTAATGGAGTTCAGTTTTGATGCTGAGGATCAGAATCAGTTTTCCTCATTGAAGCTGCGACTTTTGCTTGGCTGAACTTCATTCCTTTGCTTTTGTTTATGTTAAATCATGCAGACTGGAAGTGAAATGAATTTAACTCTGGTAAAAACACAGGAGTGACGAGGTCTTTAATTCTCGTTTCCAGTTGAATATCTCAGCACTCATGCAGAAAAGTTACTTATAAATTAGTTTTAATCAGAGTTGGGTTACATTTACTTGAACTTTTTTGAAAAAATTAACTTTTACTACTCTGTACTTTTATTTGAGTACTTTTATTATGAAGTATCTCTACTCTTACTTGAGTAAAATTTCTAGATTTCTACCCACTAAATGAAATACAAGCATGTTTTATTTAGCCAAATATGCACTATACAGACACACCTGCAGTTTGTGTTAAAGTTTCATAAAAATCTTTATTTAAAAAAAAAACTGATTTGGAAAAATTTATTTTCTCTGATTTTGTTATTTTTTTGTTTCTTATCTGAATTATTGTCATTTTTGTGCTTAAAATGTCAAAATTTCCACTTAACTTTACATTTTGGTCCATTTGATGATGTAATTTTAAAATATTAAATTGATGATTTGATCAGTTAGTTGGATAAACGTTTTACTACAAAGTTTCTTGAACAACTTCTTTTTACTTTTACTTGAGTAAAAACATGTTGGAGTGATAAATCTGCCCACCTCTGGTTTTAAGTAAATATTTCCTTAATAACGATGAAAAAGTTTTATTTCTACTGGATTATTTCACTTATAACAGTTTTATGAGAGGATCTAGAAATTAAACGTCTTGGTGAAACGTGGCTTGTAGTTAGTTTTGACTCATTTCTGCACAGGTTTACCAGAACTGCCACTACATGTGAAGGGTTGTGCACTGCAAAAAATCAAAATATTAACAAGTCATTTTAATCTAGTTTTTAATCCAAATATATTATTAAACTTCAATTAAGACAAAACTAACTTACAAGTAACTTTTCAACACAACATAGGAGCTTGTGTAACATCAATAATCACTTTATATTGATTTAAAAAAAACATAACTCTGGGAGATTATTTCACCTATAACGATACATTTTCACAAGTTAAAAGTAAAATAATTTGCCACTGGAACCATTAGGAAATTACTGACTTAAAACAAGCTGCTATATCTTGCTGAAAAGTTACTTTTAAGTTAGTTTTGTCAAACTAACTAGACTTTGTCCAGTTTTGTCTAAAGTCTGGATAAAAACATCTGCAATAATAGAAAATATTTGCAGATTGTTTCCAATAATCTGACATTTTGGTCGAGATAAAACTAGACCAACTTGCAAATTAAAACTTGGTTTACTTTTTATTTGCACTAAAAACAATTGGTAAGATTTGGTGTTTTTTCATTCTGCATATTATCCATATTCTGAACAAAGTCACCATTTTATGATTGAAACATTCAGTTGAAACCGACGGGGAAAACCCAAACAGGTCACAGCGGGATTAAGGTTCTTTCTCCAGAAAAGAACAGATAAAACTTGGCAGGCGGACATTTTTAACCCGGTGAGTTATGGGTTTGTAAACTCTTAGAGTAGAAAGACTGAAAAGGCAAACATAAATCACAGATTAGCAAGAACATAAAAAAAGCAGACAGTGGGTTTTTCTTTTGATTTCGCCTCACCTTGGATGCTCCTCTTGAAGAAGGCCTTGCAGCCCTCGCATGACCACACGCCGTAGTGATACCCCGAAGCGTAGTCGTGACACACGGCGCAGTAGTGAAGGTCGCCCTTCCCGCCCGAAGACACCACAGCGTCCTCGTTCTCCTGCGACAGCTTCTTTGTGCTCTTTCTAACAGACAATTTACGTCATCATTTCTCACCAAAAAATACACTCAAAATCCATCAACTGACAGGAATTACAGAAACCCAAACTAGGATTTATATATAAAATACATCGAAAGTGTAGGTAGAAATGTTTTTTTAATTTCTGCCAAAAAGAAAAAACTCGCTTCATGAATAAATTTACAACTAGAACCTAAAAATACATGAGTGAAGGCTTGACTTTTCCTTAAAAATGTAGCTACTCTACGGCTATACATACAAGATTAATGTTAGTTTCTTTCTGATGGATTCTAAGACGGCATGAGGGCAACTGTAGGTAGAAAAAAAGAAAAGGAGTAAATTTCTGCCAAAAAAAAAAAAAAAAAAAAAAAAAAAAACAAAAAATTTTTAAAAATGGAAAATTTAAAAAAAAAAAAAAAAAAA